TCTTCGTGTCACAGGAGGCTTATGCAAAAAATATTTTGAAAAAGTACAAGATGGAAGATTGCAACCCGGTTTCAACACCAATGGAACCTGGTTCAAAACTTTCTAAGTTTGATGGAGGAGACCGTGTTGATGCAAGCAAGTACAGAAGTTTGGTGGGAAGCCTACGCTATCTCACATGCACGAGTCCGGATATCTCGTTGAGTGTCGGCATAGTAAGTCGGTTCATGGAGGAGCCAAGATACACACATTGGAAGGCGGTAAAGAGAATTCTGAGGTATGTTCAAGGTACAGTTTCACATGGGTTACACTACTCGAGCTCGGCAAAATACAAGTTGATTGGATATTCTGACAGTGATTGGTGTGGAGACGTAGATGATCGAAAGAGCGCGGTTGGTTATGTGTTTTTCATGGGCAACACGGCATTCACTTGGATTTCGAAGAAGAAACCTATTGTGACACTGTCGACATGTGAAGCTGAATATGTAGCTGCATCTTGGTGTGTTTGTCATGCAATGTGGCTCAGGAATTTGCTAAGCAAGCTGGAGGAAAAACAAGTCGGCCAAACTGTGATCCGAATTGACAATAAGTCGGCTATAAAGCTAGCAAAGAACCCGGTAAATCATGAAAGAAGCAAGCATATTGACGTCCGATTTCACTTCATCCGGGATCAAGTAAAGGAAGGAAATGTGGAGCTAACACACGTGACCAGTCAAGAGCAAGTCGGGGACATCTTCACAAAGCCACTACCAACGGTGCTGCTCAACAATTGCAAGAAGATGCTTGGGATGAAAGATGGCAGAAGCATTTAAGTTTATGGAGGAGTTTTGTTGAATAAACTTTAAATGGTTTGTTAGTTTTATATTTAATAGTCTTAATTAAGCAGTCTTGTTTTTAGGTAAGTGAAAGGCCAAGAGTTGTGAGAAAGTGAAAGGCCAAGAGTTAGAAGAAAATGAGAGGCCAAGAGTTGGAAGTTTAATTTTGTGGTTTATGGCTATTTTAATGTTAGGTTCATGAAAAGGCAATCTACTGCCTATATAAACTAATCCATATTGTAAGCAAAGTACACAGAGTAAAAGTTGAAGAGAAATACAAGTTTTGTTCTCTGAAGTTGTCTTCTCCACTAGAAAATAGTTGTTTTTTTATTTAGTGATACCACACTTATGTGATATATATATTTTTTATATGCATATAGATATATATATATATATATATATATATATATATATATATATATATATATATATATTTTTCTATCTTGATCTTAAGTAGTAGAAACTTTACGTTTCGTGTCGTTTCTACGATTTACGTCTCTACCATTCCTTTCCGTTTCTACGTAAAAACTCGATTTTGACAATATTGCCTCTGACAGCTTGTTTGGAGTTGCTTCGAAATGATTTGAGGAGAGTTAGTCTCCCAAGAATGTGTCCAATATAAGTCTTCTATTGTTTTTGTTTTAGCTTTCCTTATTATTTCCAAAAAAAAAAAAAAACTTATCTAATAATTTAATACGGGACAATTCAATTTATATTGGTATAAAAACAAAAAAGATTATATATAATTTCATTTTTTTTTTTGGAAATACAATGAAAACTAAAGCAACATAAAAAAAAACCCTATACTGGGCACAATCTTGAGAGACTAACTCCCCTCAAGTCATTACGAAGCAATTCCAAACAAGCCGTTGGAGAGACATCCAGCACAATCAGCTGTCCATCCTGATGAGGTGCATGAGTAGCAAGCCAATCAGCAACAAAATTGCCTTCTCTATAAGTATGACTAAGCTGAATAATCCAGTCTCTTTGAAGCATGCTACGAGCTCGGATGATTAAAGCAGAAAGAGGATAACTTACGTCACACCCTTTTCTTATAAATTCCAAAGCCACCTTGGAGTCACCCTCCACAAAGACTCTCATAAATCTCTTATGCCAAGCCAGATCCATACCTGTCAAGAACCCCCAAATTTCCGCTGAAGTAGAAGTACCACTCCCAAGGAATTTTGTAGAAGTACCGCTGAACCCATTGATCTACATATATTTAATAATTTTAATTTATTAAAAAATAATAATTAATTAATAAAAATAATTCAATAAACTATATCTATTAAATGCGCATAAATTAATAATTGATATTGAATGTAAAATTTATTACGGGTGTATATTTATCCGGCCCTATTTAATAATCTATATGAATAATATAACTAAAATATTCTATATCTAGACAAAGAAATCTGAATTAAGGGAAAGAAAAGTGAGAGCTCATAGTTACTCGATGAGGGTGCCCACATTGTATCAGATTTCCCCCGTGTCCCAAGGAGAAAGTATTAATAAAACTCAATTTTCCATGTAAGGAAACTGTGAATTTGTGCTTTGTCATTTATAAAAGGTGAAAATATCAATTTATCTTGTTTTATGGCGATTTGGCGGGTTAATTCATTTAAATATTAAAAAAATTAAAATTAAAATAACATTAAACATATTATAATCAATTTAAGAAGTATAATTCTGCAACTTAATTTTGATATTGTGAAATTTAAATGTATTTGTTGTTGATCTTATATTTCAGTAAGCTAGTAGTAGAGTAGTGATTTGCATTTTATTGCGTAAAAGCAATGAGATTTGGGAGCAAGATCATCAGTATCTCAAAACCCAAGTTGAACAAACCTCCAACTGTGTTTTTTTGTGTATGTACAATGTATTGTGGTTCGGAGAAAGACAATATAGTAATCCAGTTAGGTGCGAGTGAAGAGAGAGAGAAAGAAGTGAGAGATAAAGCCAAACTAAATCACAAATTGGTAGGCAAGATAGTTGCTTATGAAGCAATCTATTTGAAATTTAGTTTTTTTTTTTTTCGTGGTAATTGAAATTTATTTTCATATTGTTAGGAATTGACTATCATCAATAAGGGATTATATATCCCTTGGTTCTATTAATGCGGAGAAGCTGTTGGGATGTAATGAGATTGAGCCACCATAGTAAGTAGAAACCGCTCATATTTTATGGGCCGTGCCACTGGGTATGTAATTAATGTTAATAAATAGGCCGAATTGCGTTGTACCAAAAAATAAAAATAAAAAAACAGGGCCGAATTGCTGGATTTGGAAATCCAGCTCTAAAATTATATCAAAGTGAATTAAATCAAATCCAATCTTATTCTCAACACATTCAAAAAACAATGCCTTAAAAAAATGCTTCTATCCAATTACAAACAAACGAGGCACATTCGTATAAATTGGATTCATGAAGAAGGTATTTAAGCCAATAAAATATCAACACAACTCTTATATGAATTTTCATGCCAAACAACTGTTCTAACCAATGTTATTAAACTCAACCCGATTATCGGTCGATGTACTGGGTCACTGGTTCAACCAGTGGGTCACTGGTTTAACCGCATGACCCGGTAAATATATGTTAATTTATAATTTATATTAAAAAAATTATAAATATACTTAAATACCTGTAAAAAAAAATACATCAATTTTAAATATTTTAATATGAAAAATAAGGAAAAGGTTATACTTACTACCTCTTTTTCTTACTATCTCTTACTACCAAATCTTAACCGTTGATTTCTGCCAATCCAATGGTTATAATTTATTGAAAATTAATAATTAATTAACAAGTATAACTGAATAAATTATAACCGTTAGATTAACGAAAATCAATAGTTAAGATTTGGTAGTAAGAAAAAGAGATAGTAACTATAACATCTCCCGAAAAATAATAAATTACATATCATTGTCCAACAAAAAAATAATCAAACATATAATATTTGTTATACTAATGTTTCAGGTTCAGTAAACGACATTTCTAACTATAAATCAAATCAAAATTCTCTACATATTGCATAACCAAAATAATATTAGTGTTATAAGTACATAATTTATGTAAATTAATAAGCTACAAATCGCTCAAATATTTCAAAAGAAAACAAATCATGTGTTTGAGAGTTAAAAAAAGAAAGAAATCAATTGATTAGAATAAATTAGAGTTTTTTTTTTTTTTTTTTGCAAACCGGGCCGAGTCACTGGTTGAACCGACCGGGTCACCGTTTTTTGCAAAAACCGGTCAGGTCGCACCAAGTCACACCGGTTCTATAACATAACCGGTCCAATATGAAAATCGAACCAGTTACATGACCGGTTCACTGGTTTCCGAGTCGACCCGACCGGATCGGTCCGATTTTTATAACATTGGTTCTAACCAAAGTATTGAACACACGACATTGCTCAAAGAATATAGAACTACTTACGGTTATTTTTGGTATAGTTATCATCTCTATGAACTTAATTAAGATCTTCTCCATGATCATAAGTAAATTACAACATAAATGCCTTGGCTGTGGGAAATATTATTTTTCACTGCCCTTTCAAATTTTGTAGAGTAATTACATGTATGTCTCCTTAAATTTAACAAAATAAATGCAGTATTTTGGACACTAACTAAATGGAAAATGGAGTAGAAAAAGGCTTGAAAAATTAGAGTTTAGTAAATGGATGTTCATAATTTTTTTTTACCACCAACCATGTGAATCAACTGACATGAAATTATTCCAACTTAATTAATGATCTCGAGTTATTTGAGATTTTTTGCTTATATGGGTTTTTTTAATACTGCAATGTTGGGATTGGTTACTAGTTCTAATTTGATACAAATTTATATCTTTTGGGAATTGGTTGGAGTGTGTTAACTTCATGGTATACTCATGGATTGGCAAGTTCCTAATAGTTTAGCACACTCTTTGTTGTTATTGTGGGGTCCTGAAGCAACCTCCTGGCCTAAAAAAAGTAGTCTTTCTCGATAAAGTCGATTGATTCAGATCAAATTGGATTAGAGTCCTCGATAAGCATGTGTTAAAAATGATAAGGAAAACTTTGTTGCCCTTATTGTCCTATCCGGCTTGATCAGTGGATCAATCGATGAACCGGTGGAGAAATTAAAAAAAAAAAAATCCTTTTAAAAGCAGCTTTATTTTCCCATAGCTTAAAAATTTTCAAGACCCAACAAGCATGCCATCCCCAAGATTTCATACTATACCCAACCCATGAAGATTAAAAAGGCTATATAATGAATGGTAAACTATAATATTCCCCAGGAAATTTTTACCACAAGGATTTCACTGAGGTGTTATAATTAAACGGACCTAATAACAAAAAATAAGCCATTGGATGCAATGCATCAAATAGCTATTCCTGAGAAACCAGAAGATAGTTACCAACTCACATTAAAATAGAAGGAGCATCCCTTGATGCTCATATCTACAAACCTCCACTTACAGGTATAGATGTCAGAATGAAGCCGATGTTGTTCGGCGAATCTGATATCTAGGTTCAGGAGGTGGAGCACAGGACCACATGTTCTCTAGCTCCTGCAAGTTAAGGAGAAAAATTAATAAACTAGTCTAATGAATAAGGAAGAAGGAAGTAAGCATGCATCAGAGACTAGTTAAGATACATTCATTCCCATGATTTGAATAGGTAAAGATGATCATGGGCACCAATTAAATGCACGCAACAAGATTAATTAACAAGTTTTTTTTTTTTTTATTATCACAAGCGTATCAAGGATTTATAATCTGTAAGGAGAACCTTTCATGATCTTCTTACCAATTACTTCCATTGTAGGAGAGGGAGTGAAGAATGCAAAGCTTAAAAAAATGAAAGTAAACAATCACATCAAGTCATCAACCAATCCCCAAGAAACCAAATTACATGGAGCAGAAAAAAATCCTAGGCATATAGTTCAAGATGCAAACTTCAGTCATGAAAGCATTAACTACATAGGATGGCAATTAATGGTGCTCTAAGAAGCTAAATTGTCATGTGGACACTTTTTTATAGGAGCAAGACAGCCCGTATTAAGGATTTATAATCTATAAGTAGAACCTTTCATAATCTCCTTACCAATTACTTCCATTGTGGGAGAGGTAGTGAGGAATGCAAAGCTAACAAATGAAAATAAATAATCATATCAGCCAATCCAAGAGAAACCAAAAATACATGGAACAGGAGAAAATTCTATAGTTCAAGACACATAACTGTGTAGGATAGCAACTATTGACGCTCTAAGAAGCTAAAGTGTCATGAGGTAGGACATTTTGACAATAGCACCGACTCGCAAGAACTTAACGTGGTAGGTGAAGGATTGTAATTGGTTTTATATCTAACACACCTAACACAAGGGTCCATTGGGCTTAGCATGAACAACAGATAGGTTCCCCTACCTTGTGTTGAAATTCAACATTTTTATTTAAAAAAATGAGGGCGACAAGGATTAAACTCCCGACCAATTGGTCATAAAAGCTCTGATATCATGTGACCAAGTCTTCTAAAAGCTTAAGCAATTAAGTAAAGGCTCGTGAATGATTTTATATCTAACACGAGTTGTGCCAGATTTTACTCGTTCATTTCTGTGAATTTATCACAACAATTGAACCTGACTCAAATATTCTTCTGAACAAATCTTCTTTAATATATCTGTACAAGCTAGAGCCGAGACACAGGACAGATGCAAATACATGACATCAAGATAGCAATAGTGACTTAGAAATAATTCAACAAAGTTCACTAATGTTATAAGACTTCCAAGTGATCCCTACTAAAAATCAAGCTTAATGAAAAGAAGCTCTCTCCAACCTTCTTCCTCCTTTTGCTCCTAAAGAAGCCAATTTTTATTGTTCCATGAATTAATGTAAACAGTCAACAAAGATGAAGTGTCTACCCCCCCCCCCCCCCCCCCCCCCCCCCCCCCCCCCCAAAAAAAATGTTTATTAGAGTAAAATGAATCCTCAAACTCAGAAGAACTATGTTAGTGATATATAAACAACAGTTTTCTCCTCCAAACAAAAAAAATGAATCCTCAACCCAAACCCAAAAACTTAAAAGTTAAATTGATTCTTTACATAGTATCAGAACTTCGGTGTCCCGGGTTCGATCCTCGCCGCCCCCCATTTTCTTTGTGGAATTTCTTAGCACAGGAAGATTGGGCCTGATGTTTCCTCCACCTTTCAAGTCCAATAGTCTCTCTTGTGAGGGAGCGTGTTAGAGATATATAAAACCATTAATGTAACCTCACCCATCAGCTTAAGCTTTTGGGTTGAATTAGTTCTTTACAAACTACAAGTATCATAATCCTTATCCAGACACACTCATTTTGTAGGAAATCAGGATTCAAATATTTCCGTTTTTATTTCCTATTAATTATGATTGATTATGATTGATTGATTAGGATTGATTATGATTGATTGATTAGGATTGATTAGTCATCGCTGAGTCATTCTTAGCGACTCTTTCTTGTATAAATACTCCTTATGTAATTTATTCAAATCAATACAAAGAAATACAAAATTCTTTATGGTATCAAGAGCGGGTTGGTTCCTACCCTAAATCAGCCATCTTCAAGGCTGAAATACCATCCAAACATCATCAAAAACACCTCCTCAACTCTGTCCAAACCCAGAAACCTTATCTACAGACCTCCAATCAAGAAAGTGAAGTGACCATTTGACTCAGAAGGCTCCGACGAGTTGAACGCCACTTGACCCATCACCGTCAGCCACCGCACGCGCTGTCACACGCGCAGCCAGCCTCCGGCACGCGAGCTCCACGCACCACCTTCCTGGCGTCTTTTTCCGCCGCGACTTGCACAGAACCTCTCTCCGGCGTCTCCCCTTCTTGTTCCAGAGGTCAGATCTGAAAAAAATAAAAACTTGATTTTTTCATCCACGGTCAAGTCTTCTCTCTTCCTTCATGTCTTCCTCAGAGCGTTCTTCTGCTTCCTCATCTGTTCCCAATACTCAGTCCTCTGGAGACAACTTAGGTATGCAGATTAATAGTCATTGGTTGAACGGTAAAAATTTTCTGCAATGGTTTCAATATGTTAAGTTGGTGATCCGTGCAAAAGGTAAGATGGGTTATCTTAAGGGAAAAATTAAGAAACCTGCTGAGGATTCTCCTGATTATGAAAATTGGGAGATTAATAATTCCTTGGTAATGGCATGACTGACTAATTCCATGGAACCACAAATTGGCCAAACCTATTTGTTCTTCGATACTGCCAAGGAGATTTGGGATGTTGTTCAACAAAATTATTCAGATCTGGAGAATACCTCTCAAGTCTTTGAACTGAGAAATAAGTTGAGAGAATTTTGTCAAAGGGGTATGACTATTACTGAATATTTTACTGCACTAACAAATTTATGGCAGGAACTAGATCTTTATTATGCATCCGATCTTAAAGGATTGGAAGCGAATACCCAGTTTAAAAAACACTTGGAGAAGGAACGACTTTATGATTTTCTTGCTGGCCTCAACCGAGATCTTGATGAGGTTCGTGGTCGAATATTGGGGCAACGACCGTTACCCTCACTTGCTAATGTCTTTGCTGAAGTTCGTAGAGAAGCAAGTAGACAGAGAGTTATGCTGGGAGAAAATGAGTCAATTGATAAGTCTGATGATAAGTCTGCATTGGCTGCCAAACGTACCTTTGACCGTTCCTCTGGAGAATCAAAACGGGATGGTCGTCCATGGTGCACCCACTGCAATAAAATTGGTCATAACCGTGAGAAATGTTGGGAAATCCACAGGAAACCTGCAAATTGGAAGCCAAAAGGACAGAATAAAGGTCGTGCATATCAGGTCTCTACTGATGACAAGATTGATGAGCCTCATGCATCCTCTGACTCTGATGGTGTTTTTCTTAGCAAAACTCAGTTTGAACAACTTCAGAGACTTTTGACTCAACCTCTTAAGGCCACTAGTAATGTGGCCCAGCAAGGTACAGCTTTCCATGTTGATAGTCAAAATCATTGGATCCTTGATTCTGGAGCCTCTGACCATATGACAGGTAATCCGAGCTTGTTTTGTTCATACATTCCATACTCTGAACCCTCTCGGGTCAAGATCGCCGATGGCAATTTTTCCCAGATTGCAGGACACGGAACCATCAAACTTTCTGAGCTGATTAATTTAACATCAGTTCTTTATGTTCCTTCTCTGGCTTGTAATCTCATTTCCATAAGCAAGCTGACTTCTGAGTTGCATTGTTTTGCTAAATTCTCTCCTCGTGGTTGTGTTTTTCAGGAACAGGACTCGGAGAGGATGATTGGCAGTGCTAGAGAGGATGGTAGACTTTACTACTGTGAGGAGGATGTGACTCATGAAGCTGTTTTTGTGGAAAAAGACTCTATATTTCCTTTTGATTCATGTAATGATGTTATGTTGTGGCATCGTAGGCTAGGCCATCCAAATTTTAACTATCTTCAGAAGTTGTTACCAAACTTATTTATTGATAAAAGTCCTAGTTTGTTTTCTTGTGATATTTGTCAACTTGCCAAACATACTCGTGTTCATTATCCTTCTAAAGTTTACCATGATTCTTCCCCATTTTCTTTAATTCATAGTGACATATGGGGTCCATCCCGTGTAAAGAATATTTCAGGTGCTCGATGGTTCATTACCTTCATTGATGACCATTCTCGAGTTTGTTGGGTATACCTTATAAAGGACAAGTCAGATGCTACATCCATTTTTAAAAAATTTCATGCCATGGTTCAAACCCAATTCCAAGCTGCTATACAAATTCTGCGTACAGATAATGGCAAAGAGTATTTTAACTCTATTCTTGGAGAATATCTTTCCCAACATGGCATCCTTCACCAAAGCTCGTGTCCTGACACACCCCAACAAAACGGAGTTGCGGAAAGAAAAAACCGACATCTCCTTGAAGTTGCTTGGGCTCTTATGTTCACTATGAGTATTCCTAAATACCTTTGGGGGGAAGCCGTTCTCACTGCCTCGTATTTGATCAATCGAATGCCATCTCGCATTCTCAAATTTCAGTCTCCTCTTTCTAGTTTTTTCCGCACCTTCCCTTCCTTCCGAGGCGTCTCCTCCCTACCTCTAAAGTTATTTGGTTGTGTTGTATTTGTCCATATTCCCTCTCATCAACGGTCTAAGCTTGATCCTAAGTCTCTCCGGTGTGTCTTTGTTGGTTATTCTCCTACTCAACGTGGCTATAAGTGTTATTCTCCCTCTCTTCGTAAGGTCTTTGTCTCTATGGATGTCACCTTTTCTGAGACTCAACCTTTCTTTCCCTTTGACTTCTCTTCAGAGGGAGTCTATAGGAGCAGATGAAGATCAGTTATAGGAACCTACTGATGCCACAGTATTACCTCTACTATTGGAAACAGGGGGAGCTACAGAATCCTTACCATCCGGAGCCTCCTCAAAGTGGGGACAAGTTTATAGCAGGCGAAAGCCTCCTGAAAGTATAAATAACCCAAAGCCTCTACATTGCCAGGATTCTGAACCATGTTCTAGTTCTAGCACCCCAACGCTTGAGTGCCATGATAAAAATGATCTACACTTGCCTATTGCTCTCAGAAAAGGTACTCGATCTTGTACTACTCATCCTATTTCTAATCATATTTCATATGAAAAGTTGTCCCCAGGGTTCCATGCTTTCAATACTATGTTGGATAGTACAAAGATACCAAGAAATATACATGAGGCTCTCGATGATCAAAAATGGAGGGATGCTGTCTTTGAAGAAATGAATGTTTTAGAAAGAAATGGAACTTGGGAGATGGTGACCCTACCAAAGGGAAAACAGACAGTAGGATGCAAATGGGTGTTTACAATAAAATTCAATGCAGATAATAGCATCAACAGATACAAGGCAAGATTGGTTGCAAAGGGGGTCACGCAGACTCATGGGATAGATTATCATGAGACTTTTGCTCCAGTTGCTAAAGTCAATACCATCCGAGTTCTCTTATCGCTTGCTGCCAACCTAGATTGGCCTCTGCAACAGTTGGATGTGAAGAATGCATTCCTAAATGGTGACTTACATGAAGAAATCTATATGGATCCTCCACCTGGTTTTGAAAAGGGAAATGGATCAGTGTGTAAACTAAAAAAGTCTCTATATGGGTTGAAACAGTCTCCTAGAGAATGGTTTGACAAATTCACACAAGTTGTCAAAAGAAGAGGCTTCATTCAAGCACAGACTGATCACACTCTCTTCCACAAACACTCTAAGGAAGGTAAAATTGCTATTCTTATTGTGTACGTAGATGACATGGTCCTTACAGGTGACAATATTGAGGAATTGAACTCCTTGAAGAAGTATCTAGCAACTCAGTTTGAATTAAAGGATCTTGGCACTCTCAAATATTTCCTTGGTATGGAAGTTGCTAGGAGCAAAACAGGCATCACTCTCACACAAAAGAAATATGTTCTAGATCTTTTGGTGGAAACTGGAATGTTAGAGTGTAAGCCTGCTGAGACACCTGTGGAACCTAATACCAAGATAGGTATTGAAGATGGGAATGAGGTGGATAAAAAACAATATCAGAGATTGGTTGGCAAACTAATTTACTTATCTCACACACGTCCTGACATTGCCTTTGCGGTGAGTATGGTTAGTCAATTCATGCACTCACCCAAGGAGAAGCATCTTAGTGCAGTCTATAGGATGCTCAGATACCTCAAGAACACTCCAGGAAGAGGATTATTCTTTAAAAAGGGGTATAAAAGGACGATTGAAATCTACACTGATGCAGATTAGGCAGGATCATCAGTAGACAGGAGATTTACCTCGGGCTATTGCACCTATGTATGGGGAAATCTTGTTACTTGGAGAAGCAAAAAGCAAACGGTGGTTGCAAGAAGTAGTGCTGAAGCAGAATTTCAAGCTTTAGCTCATGGAGTTTGTGAAGGAATCTGGTTGAGAAGACTTCTTCAAGAGTTGAAGATTTCATATTCCCTACCATTGTGACCACAAGGCAGCTGTCAGCATTGCTCAAAATCCTGTGCATCATGATCGAACAAAGCACGTGGAAGTTGATCGCCACTTCATCAAAGAAAAATTAGATGATGGAAGTGTGCGTATGATGTATGTTCCTACCAAAGAGCAGACTGCAGATATCCTTACAAAGGGCCTACACTGTCCAGCATTCGAAGACTTGATTGGCAAGTTGGGAATGATCAACATTTACCTCCCAACTTGAGGGGGAGTGTAGGAAATCAGGATTCAAATATTTCCGTTTTTATTTCCTATTAATTAGGATTGATTAGGATTGATTAGTCATCGGTGAGTCATTCTTAGCGACTCTTTCTTGTATAAATACTCCTTATGTAATTTATTCAAATCAATACAAAGAAATACAAAATTCTTTGCATTTGAACAGCTCAGGTATTATAATATTCATAAAAGTTAGCCAAATAAAAATACAAAAACAAAAAAAGTAAAGGAAAGAGAGCAAAAATAACTCTAGAATCAAAGTTTTAAAATGTATTAAGTAATCTTTACCAAATGTATCGAGGATATCATGTTGATCAATGCTCCTTTTCTACTTTATTTTAGTCTAACAATTAGATTTTATAGTCAAAAGGAGTTCCCAACTTGCACATACAATAATGTCAGCCAGTCGAATGTCAACCCAAAATGTATAGATAAATGATTTCTACAGAAACACTGTCCACCACAGTCCATCATCCATAGAAACAAGTTGTTTCTCCAAAATTCCTAAAAAAACACAAAATACAATGCAAAGTTGAGAAGGAAATAAGAGAAGCTTTTCCCTTGAATGAAAATAGGGGAAAATTGAAAAAAAGTTAAAAATCCAGCAATCATGCAATTGCATCAGCCCATCAAAACATCAACGAAAAATATTTTTAAGCAACAATCAAATCCAGCTTCAGCCAAGAGTTTTTTATCCAGACATTTAAGACACTGACTCCTTACTTTAATCTTTTGAGAGGAGGTCAGTGTAAAAAATGTTTAAAATGAATTGACTGAAGCATATACACATTGTAAAATCAGAACATAAATGGATGAAAAAAGGAAAAATCTAACTCCCACAATCACTGCCCCCCCCCCCCCAAAAAAAAGGACAATTGTTAAGACAAAAAGTAACCTTTGTCCCCTCCCTTTGAATCTTCTGTACTTATATTACCTCCCAGCCAACTTACAGAACTATCAGTTTTTTCTGCGTGTATTGAATTCTCTTTTCCTTTTAATGTGCCATACCAATTAACCAGAAGTTTCAGAAAAGTCATCAACGTGTTGCCTCAAAAATTCTATATAGACAAATACAGATTACAAACTAAAGCTGTAAAAGCTGTTACAGTGTTCATATAACATTTTTTTCATCACATTGGAGGTGCAAGTAGTGGGATAGGTGGTTTGGTGGAGGATCAAACCTCCAACCTCATCATCATACCCTTATGACTTAGGCCGGTGCAAATTAAGCTACTAGCTCATTAGCTCAAGCTTTTACTGCTATATTGGGAGTTACTCCACGTATTGTTTGACGTAAAACAGATAGTGGATCTGTTTCTGTCTTTTGTTGAATCTTTTTCATAGCCCGATAGATAGCTTGTAAAGCCAATGATTTTTTTCCGTGTTTCAGTATACGGTTAACCAACATGTTAACTAATTGATTACAATAAATTGGATCGGATTTTGCGGTTTTTTGTTTTGTAGTACCTCACTGTTACATCCCAAGTCATGTAAGAAATAATTCTGTTTATTGCACAGCACTTTGAACTGTGAACAAAAGCACACACAAGACAGGAAAGGAACACATATTTCATGTTCAAAGAAAATTTTAAGTTACTCATTGATAATTCAGGTGGTGAATAAAAAACAACAAAAACATGAAGTTTCCTCACACCATGAGATGTAAGAGAGTAAAGAATTAATATAAAGATAAAACTAAGATGGTCAATATATTATTCCAAAAATGTACAAAGTGGAAAAGGATATATTACTTAATATCAAGACTGCAAGGTATATTCAGCACTTTGAATTAACACAACATTTTGACTGGAACTAAACTAGAACATCAAAGCAGAATCTAACCTTCTGTTTCCTCAGTTTTTCGTTTTCCTCTTCGAGATGTGAGACTTTGTTCTCTAATTCAGTTGTATAAGCCTGTATATAGTTATCATTCAGGTTAAGGAATTTTACTAAGAGAATACTTATTAAAGAATAAGAATTTAGATAACTTGGCATTCAAAAGAAAGAGAAAGATCACCTGTTTCCTTGCTCTTGAACGGGCAGCAGATTCCCGATTCTTGATCATCCTCTTCTGCCTCCTCTCAACAGTCTTTTCTACTATGTCCTCTGGTGTGCCCCGTTTTCTCCCAGGTCGCTTTGTATCTGACAAGGTTCCCATCATAGGTGAAGGCAGTGCCACCTGACCATCTGCATATGGAACATCCAATGCAGCACCAGCCCCCATGTGTAATGGCTGTGCTATATTCTGGCTAGGCATATAAACCCCCATTAAACTTTGTTGTGGATGCTGAAATTGAGGTTGCGGATATTGTATCCACGGACCTTGTGGAGGAAACTGTTGTGCAGCTACATTTGAGCTAACACCAACTATAGGACCAGTACTTTTTTTATTAGACGCGTCAGCAACAACCCCTGCCTTCACCAAGAAATCCTCCAATGTCATCTCTCCCAAAGTAGGCTGTCTCTCTCTCAATTTCTTCTCCTTGTTATCTGTGCTTTGTTGGATATCTCTCCAAACCTCATCAACTGTCTTCTTGCTTAGTGCACTAGTTAATGGCAGACTAGCCTGATGCTGCAGAGCAGCTTCACTAGCTTGAGTTGTGCCCTCAATTTCCATACCAATGGACTGGTTTGACTCAGCAGTCCATATATTTTTTAGAAGCTCATCGAGGTTCATACTACATAGTGGCTTTCCTAAGTCACCTAATTGATTCTGAACCTCATCAAGTGTGAGACTGTACATTGAGTTTTCCCGCACCAATGGCTGGAGCTGTGAATGTTTTCCATTATTATCACCACCACCTTGAGACCCCATAGTTTGGATCCCCAGTAAACTATTATTAGTGTTAATAATTCACTCCATATTTCATAACTTTTTACCACTAAAAGACTAAAAGCAACAGATCCAAGTTTTCAATCATATGCCCCACAAAATCAGAACCTGACAAATACAAAATTTGAAATTAGCATTTCTATGTTGATCAACTTAAAGTTCATATGAACTGACAACCTGATAACTAAGCAAAGAAACACAAGTCTCAGTTGGCACTACTTTTTCAGTTAGTGGACAATTATTTCTTTTTCTAAGTTGTTCAATTTTAAATGGGGTTGTTTGATCCATGTAATCATCCTTATTTGTAATGACAGAATCTTGCCTATGATGGTTTGGACATGTCAGGAGAAGACCAATAGAGGCCCCAATAAGGGTAAATTGGATGGAGCGATAAGAAAGACCAAAGAAAAACACTAAGGGTGTGTTTGGTTGGGGGGAAATGTTGAGATAGATGGGTAAGTGAGAAGTGGGATAATTGGGTGCCTTTGTTTGGTTTAAACATTCTGAATATATTGCTACCTAAATCAGATTGCCACCTAAACAATTTGGATGTCTATCTGAATGAGAAAGCAGGCCGAATAATCCCTCTTGATATATGGTATTGCATGTTAGCTAGCTAAATGTTGACCTTGGGCAAGAGCGCTAATGACAAGCGTACCCTCCAATTCGTACTGTTGGGTCCAAAAACAGTGATAACTGAGCATGGAAGGAGGGTGTTAAGCTGGTATTTATTCCAGATGCTTTGTGTGAAGTGAAAAGATCAATGACCCAGGATGTAATAGAGCATGATGTGTTTTGATTGTTCTGTAATATAAGCTGATGATGGGGGAACAATATGCTATATGAACAATTGTACAGTGACCAAGAAAGATATTGAAAACACAAAACAAAACTCTGTATTCTTGAGAGCACTATTTTGCATGCGAAGATTGTGCATTCTTTTGTCTGTTGAATGCCAGGATAAAGCAAAGAACCAAAAAAAATAAAAAGTTTTCGTGGTTTGCCAACCCTGTTTGCCACCGTCAAAAAAATTTAAATACAGGGTTATTTTCGTAAAACCAACTTGTTTTCTCATCTATATTTTACCTACAACCAAACATAGATTTCATAAAAGTTACCTAATTTCTCCGGTAAAATTGTTTCCAACCAAACAACTTTTTTTTACATTTTCTTATCTATCTCACTTTCCTACCATTTCCCTATGTATAACATTTCCCTATTATTCATAAAATTTCTCCTCAACCAAACGATTCATAAGAGAAAACATTAAAAAAAGTATTGAATCTTGCCTTGATCTAAATACCCATTCTGAAAACTTGGTTTTTGACATAACAAATGGCACATTTGATCCATATGGCAGACTCCACCTAGTGTGAAAAGGATTTAATTGTTATTGTTGTAATTGTTCATTTTTAATTAGGGGTCAGAACAGAAAAATGGGACAGAAGAATTGAATCCATAACTCAGGGATAGAGCAACAATGTCCTTTGATAATAGTAACTTTAAATGTAAAATTAAAGGATTCAAACCAGTTCAAGGAACCCATTATTTAACAGCAGGGTAAACTTCATCTTCCTTTCAAAAAATTTATTTCAAAAAACGGAGACATTAGTATAACATTAACTCTCTTTTTAATCCCTTTAACAAAATGAATAAAACAAAAAAATAACAACCCAGAGACAATTACACAATCAACTTAAAAACTGAATCTTCAAGGGTGAAACAGGAGAAATTAGAAAGGAAAATGAAACCCAGTAAACAAGTCAGAACAACATTTCATTTAAGCACCCAGAAATTTAAGCAAATAAAAACCATTATCATTCTCATAGACAAAATATAAAGATCCCTTGCATGCAGACTCAAAGACACATCTATCTCAACTCAATTTCCATTGGAACCCTAAACCCCATATCCAAAACCATAAAAGGTCCTTTGGAACTTCCTCTCCAAAACCCTTTGCTTAGAAAATCAGAGCCCATTTTCCCATAAAAGTTGAAAAAGGGGGAAAATAAATAAATTAAAAAAAAAAAAAACAGACGGGTGACAAATTCAACACAAAAAAATTAATTGAGAAACAGAAGATAAGAAAAAAAAAAAAAGTATACCCAGAAATCAAAACAAAATTTTTCAATAAACAAATTGAAGAACAGGGGGGGGGGGGGGGGGGGGAACAGAAAGAAGACCCATTTGCATGCAACCAATTCAGTGCCACTGTTGAAACACAAGAAAACATCTCAAAGGTGCGATCAAACGCAACACAACCCATTATTTGTTTCCTCGAATGCAGTAACAAAGTTCAATTTTTTTAAAAACCACATTTAAAAACCGAAATAATAATAATAATAATAATAATAATAATAATCAAAGAGACGGAAGGGTGTACCTTAAAAAAATAATATTTTATTTTTTATTGAAAGAGAGAGAATAATCAAAAGTACCTTGTCAGAGAGAGACACAGATCCAAGACTCAGAATGAGTGCATAAAAGCAATGAGATTTGGAAGCAAGATCATCAGTGTCTCAAAACCCAAGTTGATGAACAAACTCCAACTGTGTTTTTGTTGTGTGTATGTACAATGTATTGTGGTCAAGAGAGACAATATACCCAGTTAGGTCCCAGTGGAGAGAGAGAAATAAGTGAGAGAAAAAGCCAAACCAAATCACAAATGCACAGTTTCCTTACATAGAAAAATAAGTTTTATTAATACTTTCTCTTTGGGACACAGGAGAAATTTGATATAATGTGGGCACCCTCATCTAGTAACCACGAGCTCTCCCTTTTCTTTCCCTTGATTCAGATTTCAGAGTTCTCTGTCTAGATATGAAATATTTTAGTTATATTATTCATATAGATTATTAAATAGGGCCGAATAAATATACACCCATGATAAATTTTACATTCAATATCAATTATTAATTTATGTTCATTTAATAGATATAATTTATTGAATTATATTTATTAATCAATTTTTAATTTTTAATAAATTAAAATTATTAAATATATGTAGATCAATGAAATTATATATAATATTTTCTTATTTTTATACTTGAACTGTACCTTATTAAATTATTAGATAAGTTTTTAATAATCTTTATATTATGAAAATAATTTAAATAGATTTTTATTAGTTGACACAATACTCCACATCAATTACATTCAGGCAATATTTTATGAAATTGATTAAGTAATCAACTTGGCTAAGTTTAATGACGTCATAATTGAAAATAAAAAGAATATTTCGCATTTTTAATTAAACGTAGCTTAATACGATGTAATGATAGCACTACCGGATATATACGGGGTGTTACATTTTATGGTATCAGAGCAACGGTTCAAGGGAAAAACCTGTATGTATTGCAATGATTAGGATGTTTTGTTATGTCTGTTTTGTGTGTTTGCTCCGTCGAGTATTATTATGAAAATGCATATGTGATCACATTGCGTGGGCCTGATCAACTCATAATTTGTGTAACTTGTGCAGAGTCATGGTAAAACCCGGGAGAAAACGCGAGACTTCGGAGGATCAGCCCGATCCTGTCCTGGCTGCATTGGCTGATATGCAGGCGGCCCGACAAGCCGACCAGGAGGCCATGAGAATGGCGAACCAGACCATGTTGCACGCCGTCAGAGAGGCGAACAGGAAGGCCACTGAGGACGTGTTGGAGGCTAACCGTCTGGCGAACATGACGATGTTTAGAGTCATGTTGGAGGAGATGAGGAATGGTCCTGCTGTTGGCCATGTTCCTCCGCCACCACCTCCACCGCCGCCACCACCACCTCCACCCAGTCTGCAGGATGACTCTCAGAGTCAGATGGGGATGGCAGTCACCTTACGGGGGCCACGCAGACCGTCCCTGTTTTTGTTGAGGATCGAGATGAGATCGATCGCCGGCTGAATGCTTTTCGTAAGCATAAGCCACCTGGCTTTGATGGATCCTTTGATCCTGTTGCGACGCGTTGGCTTCAGGCGTTGGACAAGATATTTCGGGTCATGCAGTGCACAGATCCGCAAAAGCTGATGTTCGCTACTTACATGCTGAGGGCGATGCCCACTAGTGGTGGACGGACCTTTCTCATATCTACGAGATAATGGGTCATGTAATGACGTGGCCATTGTTCGAGGATTTCTTTTTGGGTCAGTACTTTTCGTATGACGCTCAGGAGAGGCAGCAAGGAGAGTTTGACAGATTGGTTCAGGGCTCGTTGTCTGTGGACGAGTACCTGGCCAAGTTCAACCAGTTGGTGAAGTTTGCACACTTCAGGATGGCGAGGCCTACTCCTACATTTCTGGCTGCTAAGTTCCGCAGGGGACTTAGTGAGGATATTGTTGGTTACCTAGTTGGTTCTGCTTCTAGAGACTTTGGGACACTGGTTCAGCAGTATCGTGATATTGAGGATTTCTACAGCACGAGTAAGGCCAAGAAGGCCAAGGTTGCCGAGGCGACGAAGGTTGTAGCTGGTAGTTCCACTTCTTGGAGAGACAGGAAGTTTGGGAACAAGGGTAAAGGTAAACATATGGCAGCTCGGCAGGCGCCGAATCAGTTCAAGAGGACTTCTGCTCAGGGGAGTGCAGCGATACCTCCTGCTCCCAGGTGCTCGGGATGCGGGAAGACTCATTTTGAGTCGTGTTCTACCGGCCAGTTGATTTGTTTTCAGTGTGGCAAGGAGGGCCAATTTCTTTAGCTCCATACCGGATGTTGCCACCGGAGCTGGCAGAGCTGAAGAAGCATATTGAGGATCTTTCAGCAAAAGATTTCATTAGACCGAGTGTGTCAGTTCATAAAGCACCGATCATTTTTGTGAAGAAGAAGGACGGGACAATGCGATTGTGCACCGACTACAGGCAGCTGAACAAGGTGACACTCAAGAACAAGTATCTCCTTCCTCATATTGATGATTTGTTGGATCAGCTCAGGGGTGCTTGCGTGTATTCCAAGATTGATCTCCGGTCCGGATACCATCAGATTCGGGTGAAGCCGGAGGATGTCCCGAAGACCGCATTTCGTTCGAGATACGGTCACTTTGATTATTTGGTGATTCGGTTTGGACTCACCAATGCACCTGCTATGTTCATGGATTACATGAACCGGATTTTCCAGCCGTACCTGGATCAGTTTGTGATCGTCCTCATTGACGACATTTTGATTTACTCCAAGACGGAGGAGGAGCATGTGGAGCATTTGAGAATTGTTCTGCAAGTGCTGAAAGAGAAGAAGTTGTATGTGAAGCCTTCAAAGTGTGAGTTTTGGCTCAAGTCTGTGAAGTTCCTTGGGCATGTTATTTCTGCTGAAGGAGTTGCAGTGGATCCGAACAAGATCGAGGCCGTACTGGATTGGGAGAGACCCAAGACAGTTACGGAAGTGAGGAGCTTTCTGGGTTTGGCAGGTTACTATCGGAGGTTCATCAAGGGATTCTCCACCATGGTTCTCTCATTGACTCGCCTTACTCGGAAGAAGACTCCGTTTGTGTGGACTCACGAGTGTGAGGTCTGTTTTCAGGAGTTGAAGGAGAGACTGACTACTGCACCTGTGTTGGTCCTTCCTGATCCTGCGCTTGAGATTGAGCTTTACACCGATGCCTCCGGGAAGGGGATAGGTTGTGTGCTGATGCAGTTGGGCAAAGTGATTGCCTATGCTTCGAGGCAGTTGAAACCTCATGAGGAGAACTACCCTACTCATGACTTGGAGTTGGCTGCTATTGTGTTTGCTTTCAAGATTTGGAGGCATATCTTTTTGGTTTGAGGTTTGTGGTGTTCAGTGACCACAAGAGTTTGAAGTACCTGTTCGACCAGAAGGAGTTGAACATGAGGCAGAGGAGATGGATGGAGTTCATAAAGGACTACGACTTTGAGCTGAGGTATCATCCTGGCAAGGCCAATGTGGTAGCTGATGCTTTGAGTCAGAAATCCAGTAGCTCATCCAGTTTGTTACTTGGTAACTTTGATGTGGTTGAGAAGTTCCGAAACTTGGCAGTGACCGCTCCGCGTGAGGGTGTACTTCTTGAGATGGAAGCAGCAGACGTTGTGAATGAGCTGTTAGAAAAGATCAAAGAGGCACAAGTTCAGAGAGAGTGTCTGGATTATGTGAAGAACCAAGACGGTGTGTCTTGGATTGATGATGGACTTCTTTTGTTTCAGCAGAGGATCGTGGTTCCTCGAGGTCCGTTGATCGAAGAGGTTATGGCAGAGGGTCATGAGGGTCAGTTTTCTATCCATCCTGGTGCTACTAAGATGTATCAAGACCTGAAGAAGAACTTCTGGTGGCCGGGCATGAAGAAAGATGTTGATGTCTTTGTGTCCAAGTGTTTGGTCTGTTAGAAGGTGAAGATTGAACATCAGAGACCGTCTGGTGAACTTCAACCTCTTGAAGTACCACAGTGGAAGTGGGAAGGTATTTCCATGGACTTCGTGGTGGGATTGCCGAAGACTCAGGCGAGTTGTGACTCTATTTGGGTCATTGTGGACAGACTGACGAAGTCGGCCCATTTTCCTCCAGTGAAGGTGAGCTTCACTACAGAGCAGTTGGCCAAGCTTTATGTTCACGAGATTATGAGGCTTGACGGGGTGCCCGAGAGTATCATCAGTGATAGGGACCCGAAGTTAACATCTCGATTCTGGGAGGCGCTGCAGGAGGCTTTTGGTACGCAGTTGAGATTGAGTATCGCCTATCACCCTCAGACTGATGGACAGACTGAGAGGACCATCCAGACCTTGGAGGACATGTTGCGAGCTTGCACTTGGGAGCAAGGCTTGGCATGGGATAGGTACCTTCCGTTGGTTGAGTTTTCTTACAACAACAGCTTTCATGCTAGCCTGGGCATGGCACCCTACGAAGCACTGTATGGTAGGAGGTGTCGGACTCCTACTTGTTGGTCTGAGGTTGGGGACAAGGAGTTTTTTGGCTTGGACTTTGTCCAAGACACCACCTTGCAGATCCAGATGATTCGTGAAAAGTTGAAGCAGGCGCAGAATCGCCAGAAGAGCTACTATGATGTCAAGCATCGTCCGCTGGAGTTCAGTGAGGGTGAGCACGTGTTTGTGAGACTATCACCTGTCACCGGTGTTGGTCGGGCACTCGAAGTAAGGAAGCTGAGCCCGCGATATATTGGGCCATACCAGATTCTTGGTAGAGTAGGACATGTTGCCTACCGGCTTGCCTTGCCTCCGAACTTGGCTAACATCCACGACGTGTTTCACGTGTCTCAGCTTCGGAAGTACATAGTAGATCCTTCGCACGTGGTGCAACCTGATGATGTGGAGGTTCGGGAGAACCTGAAAACTCTCGTCGGACCACTCAGAATTCTCGATCGCGGCGAGAAGCAGTTGAGGAGCAAGATCATTCCGATGGTCAAGGTGCAATGGACCGGAAGAACTCCTGAGGAGTGTACTTGGAAGCGTGAGGACGAGCTTCTCTGGCAGTACCTCGAGTTTCGACCAGGTATGTTTCTGATTTTGAGGTCAAAATCCTAAAAAGGTGAGGTGAATGTAAGAACCCGCACCGTTAATAAGGTATTTAATTAATTAATTAATTATGCAAAATTAGGAAATGATTCCATAATTGACCCTAATAATTATTATGAGGCTCTAATAATTATAGTAAGTGATTAAGAAGGCTAAAAGTCGCTTTTCGGAAGAAAAGTGCAGATACC